ATCACGTGCGAGCAAGCAATGTTTGCATTGTAGCGCGTGTAATGAGAATTGGAGGTGATATACATACGTGTTTGTCTGATCTTAATACAATCGTAGCCCCAAGTCATTTCCCGATGACTGCTGCGAGTGTTAATAAGTCCTGGTACACTTCGCAGTGTCTTGAGTACTCCGAATCGCATCTCTAGCACAAAGTAAGGCTGGTCTGCTATATCAAACGTCTTTGAAAGAGCATCATCGTAACCTTGATTGTACAGATTACTTTTAGCCAATCGAATTTTGATCGATATGTCCTTGCTCTCGCAAAAGTAATAGTCGGTGATAGTAAACTCCCCTCCGAGTGTCTGATCGAATTTGTACGTGCTACCGGAGCTTCGTGTATTTGACGCTTTTGATACATTTAGGCATTTCTAGTAGATCTTCAATAGTTCCAGAAAATATCAAATTGGTAGAGCAATTGATCGTTTCACTCTGAGTTGTCTAGGGCAGTGTTATCCGTCTTCGAAAAAATAAAAAAGCGCCCAATTTCTTTTTTAAATTTTAAGGATGAGATGTAATTCAGTAGAAACTAGATGATAACCGAAAACTAGTGAGAAGTCGGAAGAAAGTTTTGCCGTCGGCGTTATACATGATGTAATACGTTGGTCGGTCGGTCGATTGAATATGGGTTTACATCGATCTTCGATGCGCATATGCACTCCAGTATTCAACAGCCACTCCCGTGCGTTTATAATACATCGACGTATTCGCAGCGTATGGCACCGTCTCTCGCGCGTTACGATGAAAACGTGCGCCGTGTACGATGTTACACGTATTTCGAGTGTTGATGAATTTTGGCGCGCAGTGTACGTGTCTATATACACACGCCGCGCTCGAGCCATCTTCCCATCCCTCTAGAAACCCTCCATCGACCTGTTTTAATTATATGCTGGGTAAATTACGAGTTTGCTCGAGCTTCGACTCTCCCGATAATTTGGTACATTCCACATCGAAACTTACGCTTTATAATAATTGGCAAACAAATGGGCTCGATTGATTCCGAGATAAAACACAAAAGAAGAAGCGGGATCATGAGTCCTTAAATCACTCGTCGATTTTCGAATTGCCGACGACAAATGATGGAAAAGCTGAACGATGATTAACCAAATTTATTTATGCTCACGTACAACTATTCATTTTCGAGCTCGTCATCGTGGATCTTTACTCATATCAGGTAGGCGAATGGTAACGATAAAGTTTGCTGAATATCATCAAGCGACGCGGCAGTGCTCACTCAAACGGGTTCATATTATTTTGGCTGGCAGCGCGCAATGCTCATACGCTCATTAATGTTTTGCAGCGCGGAGAACTAGTCTCGGTCGGTATACTTAATAGGGTTCGGGTCGAGAGGGCATTTGTTAAATGAGCGCGCGCGCGAGTGAGTGAGAGGCAGTAGAACGTGTGTATAGTATAGTTCAAGAGCGCGTGCGAGTGTGCGGCGGCTGGGGCTGCTGCTGCTGCTACTGGTGGCGTATGCATGTTCAGCGATGACGCATGCGACACTCAAAAATAGCACCGAATTGCCGCCTGCATAGGTATACATCGTATGGTCGATGCGTGCTATCTTCGTCGATATCAGCTACCCTTCGACGATTGCATTATTATCGTTTGTTTTGCGGCCGATAAAAATCGTTCGTTTACTTTTGGACTCGTGGGCAGTATATTAATAAGCACTTGTGGAGCTGTTCGATCGCGAAATATTCAACGATGTATACAAAGCTACGAAACTTTGTCTATCGATGCAAATTTATCGCTCGTTTGATTTTACGATGGTATAGATAATAATGGAGCGAGCAGAAAATGTCGATGGATATTATTCAATTGTCGCAGAAGCTAATGAACCACTGAAAAGCCTCTTATCTGCCCCTTTCAGCGACTCGATTCGAAACATTATTGCAACTTTCGCATCGACGAGGATAGAAAATGCTGCAATAATCAGTTGTTGGCGATCTGGGGAACGGAGGCATCGATAAAATCGTACATGCTTACGAATCGTATTCATTACGATTGTAGTGCTCTCGAACAATGGACTTTCGCGCGATGGCCGAACTTAAAGCATACGTGATCTCGCTGTCGAAAGCACGCCGAGCTTGCAACAGCGGGCAATATACACACTAAGCAGAGCTCGATCTTGGATTTCATTTAATTGTACGCTGGAGCTGCATTAAATATCAGAGGCTTTCGACTTTTTCTACAAAAAAATTATACTGGAATTTATAAAATTATATTATGTATGTACAAAAATTTTAAAATAACCTTTGCTATGTAATCAGATTTACACGCACCGCTGCACGAAAGCCCTTAAATGTAAAAATTTATCTTAATATCTTTATAAGCAACAAGGTAGTTCATCCATTGATAATATCATGTGTGTAGCGTCAGTCCATGAAGCTTGTGTATCTGTGCGAGCGTGCCTGTTACCGTGTGCGCTAGCCCATTAGACGACACCCTGCAACGTTTGACTCTGCACATATCGTGTGAGCTTACGCGCTTTCCTGCTTCAAAGTTGTAAACATGAATAGGACGAGAGAGAGAGAGAGAGAGAGGCTGAGATAGAAACGTTGAGAAATAGAGATTAATATGAGCCTGCAGCGCAGAAACCTGCTGACTTTGTCTTCATTCACGCGCCTGCTCTACGGCTGCACTGCGCGAATCGGAAGAAAGGTATATTCAGTGCATGGAGCTGCCTCGAGCCTCGGCTCCGCATGCCAGCTCGCAGAGAACCCAACGGGGCTTATTGAATTAGACGCTGCTTTGCCGCGTTAATGATTATTTCCTCGCTCTGTTTCCCAGTACATCTGTTACAATTGCTACTAGACAGCTAAATCTGTGGCCATACTTTATACGCGTCGAATTTACATGCAATGTGGCAAAGCCCGGGGCTCATTGTGAGACGATGGACGATGCGCCAGTTGATTAGCAAAAATTAACCAAAATATTTATATGGTGTCACAACTGAGGTAATTTACGTTGGGTTTCGTAGCATCCTCTTGTGCGCGTATCGTCGTACTAAAGACACGTATTGTCGTGTCACTGCGACTACATAGGAGAGTGCATGCGTATATGCATATACCTGCGAATAATATTACGAGGGAAAAGGAAACGACGGCATCATTGTTGACGTTTCGCTAGGAAATTGAAATTCTATTCGGCTGTCTTTGTCATTTATTTGATTCTCTCCCATTGTGCTTGGGCTTGAAGCGCTTTTAATTGACATCAAAAAGTTCGACTATATATTGCCGGCACGGGGGCTTTTAAGTAATGTAACTGATGGCCGAATTAAATCGATTTACTTATCAGCAGGCATTCGTTCGAATTGTTCCATCTGTAAATTACTTTTTTATTGGCGTCGGCTTTTAGTACATCCCATTGTTCGTCGATGATTTTAATGAAAAATATCAATCGACTTTTTTAAGAAAAAAAAAAACGAATAATAGATTCTGGTTTTTATGCTCTACAGAATTCGCAGACTTTAATTAGTCGCGCGCCGACTTAATGCGAGCTCGCATATAATGGATTCGAGAGTAAACTCCATCGGACGACATTCGCGAATGAAATCTCGGCGCAGGCGTATACAAGAGATTTATATAATGGGTATCGCAAAACAGAGCCGAAACTTTGCTGCCTCGCAAGCTTGGATTAGAAGAAAGTCAAGGAAAAAACTAAAGCTACACGGCTCGGTGGAGGCGAAGACTGAGCCTCGGATTAGCTGATGCATAATGCAACCGCAGCGCACTTGCCTGGCAAAAGCCGATTTCTCACAGACACTGCCTCGTTGGTTTTCCTTTCATACTTGCGCACATAGCACGACGGGATATTTATATCGTATAGTTATGTACATGTCAATAATGTCAAAGTACATCCAAGTTAAATACGCAGCTATCAAAATTTACATTGCTGACCTGGTGATTTATGCTGAAAAGTTGATGAGTGTAATTTACATTTTTGCATAGACCTTTGATAGCTTTTATACCTAAATTTCCCCAGGTAGAAAAAGTTTACTTTGAGTTTCCAACGCTAGATGGCAATTATGTTTATCTCTAAATCTGAAAGTGGGAAAAATTCTTGAATAACATAAATTTTGCGAGATTATAATTGTCTTTAAAAACATATTCTACTAAAGTAAATAGATCTTGACTATAGAAGAAAAGGTCACCCAGACGATGTGCGAATTTCCAATAATACCCAAAAACTAATATTTCTCAACAAGATAAATGCATTTATACTTTTGTTTACCAAAATAGGATTAAAGAGTCACAAAGCGGATTCGAATGGACTGCCTCAATAAATACGTTCAATAAGTATTTTTAAGTTAGCCCATTCAGGACGGACTAGGTCAATTTTAGTTTATGTCAATGAATTCTGAGAGTATTTCCGTTCTAAAGAATCGCGAAAATTCCACCAAGATCAATGGTCACTGATACTATAGGGAGTTTTTACCAAGGACAAGTTGGTCCAAGCAAAGAAAACAATTCTACTATACATTAAGTGAATTCATAAAAAAGGAGAAGCCTTTTTGAGTGTACGTTAACTCGAGAATTTATTGATTTATAAGGCATAATAAGCTATTAAAAATTTTTCAATAACTTACAATTGTGCAAAGAATTTTTGGAGTTTCAGGGTGAAAATAAACATTGTCAAAAATATTTTCAGCGAATTCTGCAGAATATTCGTCTAAGAAAGCTCCGTAGATGTATAGAGCAAAAAAGTGTTCTTGTAGCTTTTGAAAGGGATATTCAGTCAACTTCTTAGAAAGCGGGTTTGAAGATTCTAATTAATATCCAAAATTTGATATCTTCCAAATTAAATTACTACACATACGAAATTTTGTATTTTCTACAAAGTTGAGTGACATACTGTAATTAAATGTTTATTTTCAAACTATAAAATATTTCTAGACTCGCCTAATCTAACAAGTTTATATCAATTATTTATCTTATAAATTATTCATCTTTCTGTTCTAGGCAAGAAACCGTAAAATCTCGTTGAATTTCTCTCAAAATCAAGAGAAGCATACATGTGAGTTAATTTATCAGCACGCTTAATTACATTGGTAAAAATGTAATCTCCTTATGCTAACCGCACGGGTTTTAGATAAACCAACTAAAATGAATAAAACACGTGTGCTTGCTTCCTTCTTATACTTAATTTTTAAAATAATTAAACCTGCGGTCAGTATAAAAAAATCACAACGCTTTGTCTAAACGAAAAATAAACGCCGACGTATTATTCAAACGCTCCAACTTCTTGTGTTCGACAAGCTCTTATACTACCTTCCTCTTCTGCTCATCGATGAATTTGACAAGTTCGTTGTCGAGTTAAACGCAAGTAACGAAGCAGTTGCGAAGTCATCACGATCATATTGAGAGCTTCAACTAATACTTCAAGTTCTCGTCCTTCCGTGTTCAATTCGACCGCAAAATGATCCAATCAACCAATTATATCTCTTCACCCATGCTCATATATAAGTAACGGCGAACAATGTCGCATTGATTAAACTCATCGTTTACTTGCAAATTTTCACGTGCCATTCGTTACGTCAACGCGTAGGAAAAATTACGATCCTAACACAAATTTTTTACTTCTCCATTGCAAATTGATCGAGTGTTTCATTTGTACTATGGGAGTACGGAATTTGAAGTAAAGTCAATCATTTAAAAATTTTGCGTATGAAGAAAATCAATATTTTAATAACGTTGTAAAAAATTTCATTAAATTTGATGCTCTCAAAAAACAAGAAAGCTTTTTTATCAAACCACAATCACATCGTAGATAGAATGTACATACATCAAAACTCATATCATATAACATGGATATGTATTTTCTTTTCATTTACTTTTGAAAATTGAATAATAGATTCGTTGTTTCAAAACAAAAAACCGAGGCAAAAAAAAAGGAAAATAGGTAGCAAATTTAATACCGTATTTTTTAACCAACAGGAAAATTTTGATCATTGCTTTGAAAGTGAAACATTTTCATAGAAGCTCAATTTAATTTATAAAACGCATTGAATTCTTTGACACGATGAGATTGACGCCCCACAAAAACTCTGAAATAAAGTTTCGAAAAGCAACAGTTGTATAGCAGCAACAGCTACAACGATAAGGTAGCGCCTAACTTGTACTTCTTGTATTGGTCAAAAGTCCAGGGCCAACGGGGCATTTATGAGGCGAGACTAACTTATTATCGATACGTATATCACGTTTGATAGCTGCAAACATGTAGAGTAACGATCCGTTAAGAGTTAAATTTACGAATATATAACTTTTCATTGTGGGCTTCAGTCCTTCTCCGTCTCACTCTTTCCTCGGAGTTTGGTATACATACGCAACTGGGGCTATTGCGCACTCAACTTTCAATCGAATAAGAAATAGTTTGAATTGAGTTTGGCGCGCGCCACGTATAAATGCAAATATTCCCTCGGCTTGGCTTGCGGGTGCGCAAATGTAACTCCAAAGCACACTTTCCACTCGCCCGTCACACAATCTGCATATAGGTGCCGAGCTAGCTAGTGCTTTCTCACAGCTCGCTTCCAAACTCTTCTGCTTCATTGAGCCTGTTTCTCTCTGATATTGGCCGAGAACATTATTCGTTGCTGCAGCTCGTGCAGTTAATAATGATTCGATGAGCCACGGAGCTTGTCAAGATTGTGCAACATTATTCTCAGCGGACCTAATCTTGTTATCGCGAGAACACATTTGTTCGTTTATCCGCTATTTTATTCACTGCTATACACACTACTGCATCTTTGATATTTGTTTGTAAGCATTTGATAGAAAAGCACTGGCCAGTGAATTCAACGAAATAGAATTTCTGTGTACGTTTCTTTTGTTCGCATAAGTCGGAGTCAAAGAAAGAGAAAGAGGAAGTGAGAGAGAGAAAGAGAGAGAGAGAGAAAGCTTGCGACACCAAAGAGCCTTCAACGTATACATGCATTCGGTCCAAATACAGTCAATATCTAAACCACACGCGCATTATGTACGAAGAAAAAACAGAGAAAGAGAAAAACGTAGCTATGCCACAAGTGCAAGTGTCAATTGCGGTCTTGTACGAAACGCTTTTTTCTCTTTTTTTTCACTGCATCAGTTTTGCTTCGCATTGGGCCACTGCTTCTCGAAGGGTAAAGCTCGCTTTGTCCGTACCGTTTTTCGATTCTTGTATCATTCTTGCACTTCTTCAAATAGAAAGTATATCGAAATTGGCTTCTGCCTTTCTTTGATTATTTTCACAAAGTTAAATGCGTTGCTATTCTGAATTAATTTTAAAAGAATGGCTAGCCTTAATGCTTTAAATAGAGTTATTAAGCGATTTTTTGTTAACTTTGCAATCACACGAAACAAGTGACAACCTTTTTTAAAGAATGTTTAGTAAAATTGTTCCATTTAATTATATTTTAATTAAATTAAATTTCAAAAAAATATTTCATGAAACATTCGAGCCTAAACAGACACATTTTTAATCTTAGTAATTTTTTTATCTCTACATTAAATAAAAATTAGATACCTGCTACGCTTTGTCATGGCAACGTTACGTAAACTTCCAAGTAGGCGTTACTTTCATCGATGAGTGAATTTCCCTCGATCATCGAGTATCTGCCACTCGATGACAGATATATCCGTTACCTTGTACGAGTAGTATACACTCGATGTATCAAATTGCTGCTGCTTCATGAAAAAAATGTAACTGTTACAAGCCAAGTTGAACTCTCTCCACTCGATTTTGAGTAACCTCAACTCAAACACCGCCGCGTAACACGCCGAGTAGCAACAGCAGCTTTTTTAATTTTTTAGCTCATTCTCGATTGTGTTTTTAGTGTATACTGAAATGAAATAGTTCAACTGGTTCAGCTCCACTAATGCAGCTGAAGCTTGAATAAATAAAGCTTGCGACAACTAGATCGCATTTTTAATATTAATTTACGTAAAAATAAAACACTTTTAAATTTTTATTAATGATTGGTTGAAGCCGTTTATAAGATAGTATTGCCATAAAAAATTCTGAAAAATATTGAAGTCGGGGGTAGAAAGACTCCTCTTTAGTATAATACAGCTTATTTTTCAAACAATTTCAAAGAAATTATAATAAGATGAGCAATTTTTTGATTAGTACAAAATCTATTCGATGTGATTACATTAATCTACACTGCATTTTTGAAATAATTGGCTTCAATTTTCCTCTCCCATAGCGAAGTACCAAATTCTCTTTAAATTTCCCAGCTGTTATAAGTTTTACGATGCTCCTATCCTCTTTTCCCATCAAATTTTTCCTTTTTCCTCCCCAGCCGCAGTTACCGGTTTTTTTTTAAATAGAATGACGACGTCGGGGGTAAACAGCAGGAGTACTTGGCGGTTTTCAGACTATTATAGATGCTATTATTCTCACTTCGGAGGAAAAAGCGAGGTTTGTGTGCACTTGCACGCATCGCAAGCTTTTGACCTACATAATATAATAACGTTAAGAAGTACGAGGGGCGTATGCCCAAATATTCGCGAGACTCACTTTTATCCTCGTCGCTGAACATTTTTTCCTTTTTTCTCCTTGAAATTTTCCCGTGCAGCAGCGGCCAAAAGGCAACACGGGTATTGTACATATCGTAGGGAAAACGAGCTTGCAATAGGCGTACTCGAGCGCTGCAAGCTATGTAATAAAAGTTAGACTACATACGCCGCCGAGGCGCGGTGATATCGTCTATACCCGCGCCTTAAATTATTCTAAAGTATTTAGCTACGAGTGTTAATCGAGTTAGTAGAATATTAATTTATGCACGTCCTAGTTCAGGTGGCGCGCGCTGGAATTGCGTATATATGCATGAAACCGAGATAACTCGAGCCAGCCAAGTATTTGCCACCCAAAAAGCTCCAGCATCGCAATTTACGATTCAACCAACTTTCTGCCATATTGAAACTTTAGCGGGAAAATTTTTATCGAGCCACCAAACGCCTGGATGCATATATACAATATATGCGTAAGCTTGACTCGTAATCGAAGCAATACTCTTCGATGCGGCTGTATATGCAGGTTTCATCGTGTACACATGCTGCTGTGCGCCAGCTAGATAGTAACAAATGAACTTGCATGCAAACACATTCTGTCTCTGTCGACTTTTATCTATGTACGCTTATGTTGCGCTAAGTCAGCTTGCCGCGCTGTACGCCTCGCTCGTGCAGAGGGGAAAGGGGGCGAAAAAACCCCTGTACAGTGTAGTCAGTTGCAGCGTGGCGCAGCATCGGAGCAATTTTGTAAAAGGATCACGTTTATCTGTTCGTGTGTAGGTGCATAGTACATACATATATACAACACGGATACGTACGTGTATTTATGTAAGGGTGTGTGAAGAAGCATATTATTACGTGCAGAGTCGCGCGAAAAATATCCTGCTCACACAGGTATACATGCACGTATACGCACACGAACAAAATCGCTACTGTTCCTATCCATTCGTATTTATGTACGCGTGATATTTCCGTCGCTAAATAAGCAAGCTTTACACCGTTGAATGTTGAGCTTCTTACTCCTTATTAACATAATATGCGGCATTTCGTAGTGTACGCGACTGAAATCATATTATTTTCTATTATATTATTTACTGAGAAACGTGAATTTAAATTCATAATGTACCAAGCGGTAAATGAAAAGAGGCAGGGTGACAGAGGAGGATTAATTCCTTTCGCATATTGAAAATGGATCGACCGCTATAATTACGGTTCATTTGAAAAGCTTTACCGAAGCAGATAGATGTGCCATTTAGTTGAGAGGATAGAGGAGCCAGTTCCAAAATCAAATTTTCAAAGGGCTTTTTGGTCCTCTTCGGAACATCGAGATGAAGATGGACATCGAGCTTTCTAAATGAATATTCAGTGGAAATTTCAGGACACTGGAGATAACCGAAACAATTACACGTCCACTGTCGTTCGAATCTTTTTTCGGATAATGTAAATGTAGACTTATCGTAGGAGCAGCGCATCCCTAACAATAATTCGATCGAAATAACAATTAATAAATGAAGTAATTGATTCCGC